TCCTGAAATGGTAAAATGGATTGTTAGATGTCTCACTCTACTTGATACAAGTTTAGTATTTTGTCATTTTATCTAGCAATACTTCGGTATCTCACTCCCTATATCCTGTTTTCAGTATTTGAAAGACATAGTTTAATACCTGATCATGATATCCAAATCAAATAATCCTCTTAATATGCTTCTGATGATAATTAATTATTAAAAGCATATTTGTGAAAAATTCAAAACTTTTTTTTAGTAAAAGTGGTGGAAAGTTGGAATCGATTCTGTTCCAGTGTCTGTTTTCATTTGTTTCAGTGGCACTGTCTGTATTATATGCAATTTTTCAATTTAGTGATGCTTGTCACAGTTCTAGTGCACTCTTAAGAGCTTATCTTTTATTATTTTATTTTTATATACTAATATTTTGATATAAAATGTACTGCATTGTTTCATGTTTTTTGTTGCTATCTAATGCATATTAAAGGAAATGCAATTCTTATAGAATTCTTAATATGTAATATTATATTTATCATTGTATTACTACTTACTAACATATCCTGCAATGACTTCATTAAGTGTTTTTAGTAGGGTAATTGGAATTGTAACGTTAATATCATGTTAAGAACATGAATTGATAGATCAATATTTTAGTGTCATTTGAAAAAATTGGTTAGTTATTTAGGCACAAGCTAGAATTTTTCCGATAAGAAATAATGGAAACATTTTCCAATATCTGAATTCCCAATATTCATTTTCAGGAATTTACATTCAGGTATTAAAGTATGACTGTATATGTATGTTTATCAAAGCCATATTTTTATATAGAAGTGATAAATACAGGTGTATATAAATCTTACAATGAAGCTCTTATAACAAATATACAAGGTAGCTTCAAAAAATTTCCAGAATTGGTTTATTACTCAAAAGTTTCTGTACAATTGACAAATCAAGCAATGTGTCTTCAAAATATTGTCCTTTGGCAACTACACACTTTTACCAATGCTGGTATAGCTACTGAAAACATTCTTGGAAGCCATCTTGCAACAGTGCCTGCAATGCAGATATTGCACTCTGTACAATCTCATCTGCATTCTTGAAGTGACATCCCTTGATGTCATCTTTCAACCTGAGGAAGAGATAGAAATAGCATGAAGTCTGCCATGAGCATTGGTGGCACCATGTGTTGGCAAACACTGTGCAAGTTCATTGATCATGCAGGATGGAATGACAACTTTCAACCGAAATTTCTGCTGTTTTGGCAATCTGCACAATTGACTGCTGGCTGTCTGACCTGATAGCCAGTCATCGCTTCAGGCTGTATCATAAGTATAAGTCGGTACAGGAGATCAGGGGTATGATACAGAGGGCCAGGCACACACGACATTTGATCTGAGGTGGATCCAAGGCCACATTGGAACCCCGGGCAATGAGTGTACCTACCAACTGGCCAAGGAAGCAGCCAGGGGTCGATTTGTTATGAGGATGTTGAACCCTCAACTTCTTACATAAAAAGTACTCTGCTTCAAAAGGTCTATGACATACTGGCAAGAGTGCTGGACTCAAAGTACAATAGGTAGGTCAACCTATATCTTTGTGGCTGAACTCCAGTGAGTTGTGAATGATATACAATGCAAATACTGACCAGACATGGGAGGTTTCCCCACTTCAAGTCCAAGTTTGGACAAGGAGATGGTAGCTGCTCCTGTGGGTGTCCTTGTGGTGACACGAGGCAGTATGTACTTGAAGGTCTTCTAACCAAGGACTTCTGCCGAGGGACTGACCAGGTTGACTGGTCTAAGCCTTACAAACAAGTACTTCAAATGCTTGCAGCAAGTAAAGGAAACCTATTGAAACTAAAGGAATTGATGGGAATAGTAATAGGTCTCTTCAACCTATAAGCTCAGTAGACGCAGCGGGATCCCCTTTTCTAGGATAGGGATCCCGCTAATTGTTTATAAAAGCTGGCTTTTCATTGATATAGTACTCTAACTTGTAAGTGCAGTACAGGCTGCACACAAAACAGTACGACATTGTAAGAGGGTTGAACTTGATGGCGAGGAAGGCAAGGAAGGTTAGTCCCCATTGGTTGTATCACCAGAGACAGAGCATTTAACTTCAGTGATTACTGGATGGCAGACCAGACCTGTGATTAAAGTACAGTCTCTTTGTACTCTGTAGTACTATTTAGTGGAGCAGAGGCATTTTTACTTTGAGTTGTGAGTATGAGGTTCTCTGACCGCACAATCTCATGTACAACTGACACTTTCCCCTCAGACATTAATGTTGACAGATGACCACTTCACAAATAATCAGTAATACTTTCTTGTCCCTCACAAAAGCGTTTTTGCCAGTCATAAACTTGAGAATGCATTGTGGCAAATTCAACATAGGCATCCAGAAGCGTCTTCAAGGTCTCTGAGAGTTTTTCCTCAATAATACAGAAAATTTGATATTTGCATGCACATTATTCTTCCACAGATATTTTTGCCAGGCTCTGTCTCACGTCGTTCCACTAACAAGACCTTCAGTGAATGGTAACTGTTGTCATCTTTGCAGTGAGTATGGATTTGTTTGAACCTATTTCTCTATTCCTGATATGTTTAGCTAAGACATGCATTACATGTTCCCTTTTTCATTGCCTTTAATTAATTAACTAACCTAGCATAATTCTGGGAACTTTTTGAAGCTACCTTTTAAGATCATCATTGTATTTTTAGAATTAAATAAAAGCATTTTACTTTTATTACCATTTTATATAAATATAAGTATTGAATTTATAAATAACACTAAACTCATTTTGTTAGTAATAACTATAAAAAATTTTCTACTGTATGTTTTAAAATGAAAAAGTTGATAGCCAGGCCTATCACTTTGTGGGAGGCTATCCAGGATTGAATCCGGGCAAACCACCCTAGAAAATTGTCTTGCATATATGTTCCATTCATCACCATCCATTATTGGTCTGGCCTCAATGTGGGTCATACCTCTTAGTGCTCATTGTGCACTAGAAGGACATGAGTGGAAACAAAAATGGAAAAAAAATGAATGTTTGATAGAAAGAGCTTTCCATCAATTTTCTATTACACTTTTTCATTTCAAAACATATAGCAGAACTTTTCACATTTTTTTCATTAATAATTTTATAGAAACTTCACATATATATTAATATATAAAAATTAATAGTAAAATTTTTATTATTATTTTAGATCCTATAGTTGGTGCTGCAGTGGCTGTTTTAGCTTTTGGAGTTACATATTTTCTTTCACAAGAAATCTGAAATTTGAATTGAATTGTTGTCATCTGATTTATTAGTTGTGCTCTTTATGATAGTAATCTGATTTTCATTAGCAATATTTTCTATTTAAATTATTTTCAATGTGAAGTAATATTTCAAATGATTAAATACCAGACGTTGTTTGCAATTTTTGAGAGATCATTCCTAATGATATAAATGTAATTTCAGCTCAAACTCACCAGCATTACATTAATTTTGATACCTGTTTTAATTCTTTGAGTTGCAATGTATCCATCACTTCTTGTCAGTTATATGAAATTTAAAATTACAAAAGAGCTTTGTTGTGCCTTTGATTTGATGACTTACAAAAACAATCTATTTTTTTATATGGCTATGAAAAATTGAAATTAAAAGTGATTGCAAAATTATTAAATATATTTTTCTTATTTTAATTTTGGTTATATATTCTTAATAATTTTAATTTTCTATTTTAAATAATGGATTTAGGGCAATTTCTTAAAATTAAGAAGAAAAAGCATTTTGTAAATGTACAGTGTGTCAATATGTATATGTGTACACTTCAGTAATAAATTTATATGAACTTTTTAATGCATTTATCAAAAGTCAACGTATACAATACATCACAGCATTCATTATTTAACCAGGCGTTGGCAGATGGGAAACTGGACACTTTCCTGGGATAGAGTAGAAATATCCACAAATTATAATCATAAAGTGATTGAGATATGAGACACTCCCATATAATTGTTCTCATAATTAAGGGAATGTCGTAGGACTCAGATAGTTCAAAGTCATCTATTGAGAGAGAGGATCTTACACAGTTCTACAGTTTGGTCACTCATCACACCAAAGAAAGTCCTTAGATCCATGAAACTCCTGCTTCAAAGTGTCCATCAGACAAAGGGGAAAAGTTTTGGATCCACAAGTCAAGTCAGTACACACTTCAATGAGCAAAGAACTATCAGATGAAAAAAGTGCAAAGCAACACTAGTTTTTTCCAAGTTGCGACAAAGCAGATGCAACAAGGCATATAGAAATTGATTCTTTCTCACAGGAACGTGAAGCTGATCACCTGAGGAGTAAGACCCAAAGAAAGGAACATTGAGAAGTAACTTTGTAAAAAAGCACTTTGAAAGTGAAACTTGAGAAGAGGCTTGATTGACACGAATATCAAAAAGGAACCTCAGGTCCTTGGGACAGGAGTTTTTATCTGCTTGGCCTTTCGATAGCCCAACCTGATTAGTCTCGTTTCCACGTTTTCTGATTGGTCTCATACAGTACCTATTTCAGGGGTAATTCGAGATCAGCTGAAACATTTTAATTCAATGCCGAATTCCAACCCCAACTGGAGATGGTTGATCTTAGGACTTACACTGTTTATCAGTTTCTGTTATAGTGTAACTTTAAACGAAAATATTGTGTCTTGTTTCGGTTTTTTTCTAATTGAACAATTTTTTTTTGGGAGAGCAAATTTTTGATGAGGGTTTGAACCCTGTCTGGAGCCTCACAATGATTACTTTAACGTAATTTTAAAATAATTTTATATGCTAAACAATCATTTGTGCATATTAATAGTAGTTAATACTTAAATTGCTGTTGTGTGTCACTATAACTATATACATGCTTCTGTAAGAAATAGTTTACAGAAATCAGCATTCTTTCATTAGAATCGTCTCTGGGACTAAATTCATAATAATTAACGGATGTTCACATTTTTATTAGGACACTTATTGCTTTTACAAAGATACAGGTAATGTGGAGGGATACATTTTGTAGCATAAGTGATGAAGGATTTGGTTTACTACTTCGTTTCATGCACGAAGTTACAGCGAATGGACCATAGTTACGATAGTCTTTATTTCTATATTCAGTTCTGAAATGAGATTATCTGAATGCAAGTGTGACCTATCTTAAACATTCGTTTCGTTTTGTAAAGACATCCTGTACTCATTCGTAATGTGTCTGGTGCATTTCTTTCGATCCAAAACTCCAGTTAACTGAAGTAAAGTAGAAAATTCTGAATAAAGTCCACTTGCCATCTGTAAAGAATATCCACTTAAGCTTTTAATTATACAAGAAATATAAAAATATTAGTTATTCTTATTTAAAATTTCAAAATATTAAGTTAACTTTTAGAATAATACAATTAAAGATGGCCATATTTTCATTTTAAAATGAATATATATATATAGGCATTTCATTGTTAAAAACGAGAGCTATGTAAATCAAAAAGAGCAAATTTGTTATTTGGAATCTACATTTCATTTGAATTTTAATCTGGAAGTTGAAAATAATGAATGTCCTCTAACTGCAGTGGCGAATTCAGAAATTGGAAGTTTAGAGGGGATGCAGAAAGGAAATAATGTATCTTATAAAATTATTTACTACCGGTTTTACTCGGGAAAAACCGTAGGAAGGGATGCAGATACTCCCTAAATTCGAGATTGGGAGGGGGGATGGAGGTCAGTCATCCCCACCATATACGTAACTACAATGCATTTACATGCGATTCAATTCTACATTTGGTCGTTTATCGGGTTTCGTACTAGAGAAGATGTGAGGAACCTCCTAAAATATCATTAAAATGCATTATTATCGGACATGCATGTTTTCAAAATTTCAGCTGTCTATCTTAGTTAGAAAAGAATTAATCTAAGTTGCAAGATTAAGACAAAGCAAATTTTAAAAACTTATCAGAAAAGAGAAAGATTGGAAAAATTCTCTCCGGGCACCAATTTAAGATTCAACGGGAAAAAAACACTTGACTGAGGAAACACAAATTACGATAACTGGATCTTACTCGAATTAAAAAATTCCTTTTGATAAAGAAATATCCGCCCATTGATAATCCTATTGGGTTTCTTCCAAATCTCTTCAGGAAACAAACCATCTGTGCAAACAGTAAAACACAAATAAGATAAGAGAAAATAATGAAATATTCGATAAAAATACATACTTTATATTTGAATCTCAATGGGAACGAAACAGAAGAAAACACTGCTACTGATACAAAATTGTCGTAGATCTGAAAAAATAAAAAACATTTATGTTTAATTTAATTAATTTTTTTGAAGAAAATGAACTGAAATGGAAAAATACATAGACATATATATATATATATATATTATTTATATATAATATAGGCCTATATCTACTGATGTTCAGAAAAGTCAGATGATGATAATATGAAATAAAAATCGCCTGATATTATCCATTGTGATTTATAAAATTAACCTGTTTATAGAAGTTAACTGAAAGGTTGAGGTCAACAGTGGTCTAACCCTCTTAGTTGAAAATGAGTTAGTTAACAGTGCCATACTTTCATATGTTAAACAACTTTGCGGATGATATTGTGCTGTGTGAACCTTCCCAGACCAAGTCTGAGAAGAAACTGGAAGAGAGAAAGAAAGTTTTGGAAGAAAGGGGCATGAGGATTAGCAGAACTAAAACAGCTTATGTGACTCTGATGGCAGGGACGAATGCAATACGTATTAAAATCCAAAATGTGTCGCATCCTGTGGTTCCGAGTTTTAAGTATCTAGGGGCTTTTGTCGAGATGGGGGAGGAGGATTGAACTCGGAAGTTCAACATAGAATTCAATGTGGACGATTGAACTGGAGGAAGTTGAGCGGTGTGTTATGTGACAAGAAACTTAGCTGCAAACTAAAAAATGAATTGTTCAAATCGGTTGTTAGATCTGCAATGTTTTTTGGGACTGAGACATGGGCAATCACAGGAGCCCAAGAAAGAAAGATGGAAGTGGCGGAGATGAGAATGTTGGATGTGTGGAATGTCAAGGAAGGATAGAATAAAGAACTAGTTTATTAGAGGTTAAGGTGGGTCCCTTGAGCAGGAAGATGCAAGAATGCAGGTTGAGGTGGTTTGGCCACGTAGAGCGAAATAGTGAGATTGGAATGAGGGTCAGAAAAGTGGTAGTGAAAGGGAGGAAGAAGAGAGGAAGACCAAGGCTGCGTTGGAAAGATAAGGTGGAGGAAGACTTGAATCAGAGGGGACTTAAGAGTGATGATGTCGTTGATAGGAAGAAATGGAGAAAACATTAGAGAAGGAAATGCAGACCCAATATAAACATGGGAAAAGAGAAGACGAAGAAGACTGTCTCTACATACAATAAAGATTAGTAGGTTCATTTAAATATTGATGGAAAAAATATAACACCGAAATATGAAAAACTAGCGTAAACATTTATAATACAGGGTTTTTAAAATAGTGTTGTGCCCAGTTTTTCAAGTACTGTATTCATTTAATCTATTTTTAAAATCATTTAATACATTATATAGATAATGCTGACAAAATATCGCTAAAATTACTGTAGATACGTTTTGAAATTTTACTTACCATTGATGTCATAGCAGATAGAGCCCAGGAAACGAACAGACACCCTATAAGCATTACTAACGCAACAATGGCGGTAACTTGACGCAACGATTCATCCATGTCGACAAAAATAGCTCCATACAATAAAATGCAGCAGAGGTATACTGAATGACTGTAGACTAAAGGAAAAAGTATTTTCCATTGTTTGTTTATCTGTTGAAAAAATTCTCTTATCTCTAAATGCTTCTCCATCATTCCTTGGAAAAATACGGCCGTGGCATCATCTTCGATATCTTGTAACTCTTTAGATAAATGAACCGATCTCATTGCCATAACGAATAGACCTTCGGAGCAGCAAACAAGAATGGTAATCATTTGCCCAGTTATATAAATATAATATATTTGTGCTGCAACAGAACAAAACATAGCTTCTAAATTGTTGCAATTCTCCTTCTTAAGATAAGAAAAAATCGTTAAACTCGTTATAATACAAATTAATTCTTGCAAGCAAAAGAGGAGGGCAAGAAATCCAATTAGCTTACATTCAAATTTGTTAACTATTTCTTCTTCGCCATCATAAGAGCTTCTCCTGTAGCATACACATATCTTTTTTCTCTTGATGATGCTAAACTGTAGGGCGATATATACAGAAATTATAAAGTGAGCAAAATTGACGTGAAAAGCATATTTTCCGAAAATAAGAAATAATTTTCTGCATGGAAAATATCTAACACTCGTCGTCATCAATAAAACGGCTACCCATAGAATTAATTCGATAATGTTAACATAGATTCTGAAAGCTGCATCCGAAGATTGATGATTCTTTTGACTGCATTTGCATTTTGTCATCAGATGTAAACCGAATAATCTACCAGCAACCGCGACTGAGTGAAATTGCCAAGTCAAGCAACTGTATTCACCAAATTGTTTTGTATAATTATGCATATTTGCTTGTTAAAATGGAAATTTGATTACAATACATAGGATCCATTTTATAAATTAAAAATTGAAATTATAGTTGTCGGGCACTGTGTGCCACAAGCTACTTTCTACGCTAAATTTAACGTGCCTTCGTTAATAATTTCATCCGTTTTGGGGCGGAAATACATTGCTTAATTTCCACTTTCAATTTCGTAATGAATTTGATAGCATTATTTATTACGGAATTTAAAGAGGAAATTATGCAAGATATTTACTACCTGCGCAAACGACATGCACATAATCAATATTAATAAAGATCATTGGAAAGGAATTCTAAGACGAAAGTCTTTCAATTAGCTTCTGTTTACATTTATGTTATAAATTTTAGTGCGTCTAGATACATTAGATGTGCATCTCATATATTTTATAGCTGTAATGTGAACACGCAATTAAATTAGTAAATACTGTATATGATGGGCAAATTCATTAAAAAAATCAATAAAATATGGAAGAATTATTGGAATGAAGTGCGACTTTCGTGGTGACTACTGCCAGTGCGGGTTTTTATTGACTGGAAAAAAATTCAGAAAACAGTTGCTTAACGTCCCCGGCGCCATCTGTTATGCTATTTTATTTTAAAAATTTATTATATTTTTAATTATAAAATGGCAAAAAGCTTAATTTTGAGAGTAGGGATAGTTTTATAAAATATTATAAATGCTAATAACGTCATTATGTCCAATCTAGGGTTTCTCAAACAAGATCTAGGGATCCCGGTTGTTTTTTAACCCGGGAAATCCCGCAAATTTCTTAAAAGTTTACTTTTTTTTTATTTTGTATTAAGGTCGAGGAAATCTTGCAAATATAATTAACTCATAAACTGTCAGAATACATTTGTATTTATTAATTTTAAACCTTTTTTTAAATTTTTGCTCGTTATGACATGTCACAAATGGTCAATAATCAATACGTAGCTTATTTATGCCAGGACTGAAAATTGTTTACATGTCAGAACCTGGAATAATTGTGTTTACGCTGTCATAGTTTTTAACCATGCCCAGTAGCTTCAATAATTGTGTAACATAGGTTGTGCAAATTGGGCAAAGATACAAACGAGTACGAAGTCTGCGAGTATGAAGGAGTTTTTCTTCATAAACCTGATTTAAGACAAACGAACTGCCGAATTATTGGGCTATAAGCTTGATATTACTATTGAACCAGCCGAGGTAGACAAATCGAGAATACTAGAGAACAAAAGAAGTACTACAATCTCGAAAACGAACTAGAAATCTTCCAGGCTACAGGTGAAAAACACATAATGTCTTCTCTTAAATGCATTAAACACGATTCCACTCGCATCAATTGAATCGGAAAGGGAATTCTCGGTAGCGAGACTTTTCATTACTAAAATAAGAATTAGATCGGAGTATCGACCATCTTTGCTTTTTAAAATCTTATAAAAATTTACGATAATGTTTTGTACTATGTTTTATTTAAAAAACGAAAATTACCTTCTAAGTTAGAAGTTTGATCTAAGTTCATTTTTTTTTAATTTTCAACTCAATTCAAAGCATTTTTTTGTTGTTGTTGTTGTAGTTGTATGCAGTTTCTAGCAAACTTTAATAAATTTTTTCTATTTGTAAAAATTTCTACGTAATTCAAAGGNAATTACCTTTTAAGTTAGAAGTTTGATCTAAGTTCATTTTTTTTTAATTTTCAACTCAATTCAAAGCATTTTTTTGTTGTTGTTGTTGTAGTTGTATGCAGTTTCTAGCAAACTTTAATAAATTTTTTCTATTTGTAAAAATTTCTACGTAATTCAAAGGTAATTTTTAATATATCTTACACAGCATTATTAATATGATTTTGCAGGTTGGAGAACGTATTAAATTACTTTAAAAAATGAAAAATAATTATATCATTTGATTTCAAGATATTTTGTATATCTTAAAAATAATTAATTCTATCCCGGGATCCCCGGAAACAGTTTATTTTTTTCCCGAAATCTCGAGACAAGCAAAAGACCGGAAAATGAGAAAACCTAGTCCAACCTTACTCGAGACATGACACGTGACTCCTCCTATCTCCCCAGTCTCTCGACCTTTAACCATCAAAATTTAATAATAACAATCTCCTAGTACACAAGTCCTTGCAAAATTTCAGAAAGTTTCCATAAAAAGCGTAGGAGTTATTAAGCTTCAAAGAGAGTGAACAGAATCGTGCGCCCCTACACACACACTAACATCCATAAATACAGAAAAAAAATCCCAAATTTTTTTTTTATTTCTCGACGTTTCAAAGTCCAAAAATATAAAAGTTTTATCAATAAAATGCAATATTACAGAACTGTTTTCATCTAGACTGATTAATTTTCTCTATTTTTCTAAGGCTTTTAAATCTTAATCTNAATTATTTCATTTGATTTCAAGATATTTTGTATATCTTAAAAATAATTAATTCTATCCCGGGATCCCCGGAAACAGTTTATTTTTTTCCCGAAATCTCGAGACAAGCAAAAGACCGGAAAATGAGAAAACCTAGTCCAACCTTACTCGAGACATGACACGTGACTCCTCCTATCTCCCCAGTCTCTCGACCTTTAACCATCAAAATTTAATAATAACAATCTCCTAGTACACAAGTCCTTGCAAAATTTCAGAAAGTTTCCATAAAAAGCGTAGGAGTTATTAAGCTTCAAAGAGAGTGAACAGAATCGTGCGCCCCTACACACACACTAACATCCATAAATACAGAAAAAAAATCCCAAATTTTTTTTTTTATTTCTCGACGTTTCAAAGTCCAAAAATATAAAAGTTTTATCAATAAAATGCAATATTACAGAATTGTTTTCATCTAGACTGATTAATTTTCTCTATTTTTCTAAGGCTTTTAAATCTTAATCTCTAAGTGACGAAGATGATGACTTACTGAACAATTTTGCAGGACCCAACCTCTTTTCTAAAGTTTCTGTGGTGTGGATCTTTTTCATGCTAAAGCAAGGGAATCGTACAGTATCTTGGCTTAACGTCTCATTGGAATAATGACATGTCTGCAGAATTTATAACCAGGGCAGGCCGGAGGGCAGTGCGAACGATGTGACTGCACAAAGCTCCGCGATCCTGCAAGACCCAACTCTTGAGAAATTTAAAAATTGATCATTTCATTTTTTCGCCAATCTATTTAACGGATGGTATGTTTACTATTAAAATATTATTTTATTATTCAAAACTATTTTTTTTTATTATTAAAAGGCCCTCACGACAACTTTGCACCAGGCTCCGCTTTTTCTCGGGCTCATCATCCTGCTTATAACCATAGAAAATTCCAAACGACCTGAGCAGAATTCTGTTTCGAATAGGATAGTGCCTATTTTTATACGGTTTTTCCACGCAAAACAAATTAAATAAATAAATAATTATTACTTTTAAATTAAGTCTTCCTCATCCTTGAACTATCAAATGACTATAGCTAACAAAAAAAATAAAAGTTGTTTTACTAAATTCAAAATTATATTTACATTTTTAAAGGTGCAACTTTGGTAATTATTTTGGACAGGAGTTTGCTTTGTAAAGTTTTGCTTCAGAGTCCATGCTTCTTCCTTATGTATACATCATTTAAAGTTTGTGTGTAGTTTGAAATGTAGGAACTAATTAATTTTCTTAAAATCCAATTATAAATTACATTCATTTTTTTTTTAATCTTTGCTACATGAAAGTATTGGATTTTTCCATCCACGGTTGAATTATCTCGCACGGACGAAACATCATAGCTGGCTAGTGAATAAAAGATGGTAAACCTTCCTCGATTGCTTTTTATAATTGTAAAAAAAATACAATAAATTCTGGATTTGGATATAAAAGTCCCTGATAATCATTTAAATTTATTAGACTCATAGAAGGGGCACGAGTCTTCACTGGTCCATTATATCCAAACAGCCAGAACAATCAATATTCTCTTCCACAACCCTAAGTACATAACAATGTAGGCCATTGTTACAGAATAAATATTGGTATATATAATGTTACGAGGTCTGGTTGCAAGTAGTTTCAGTTCTGGTTCAATTACCTTCAGTAACTCTTTGACACCTTTAATTTCATCAGTTGACACATTTTTCACAGTCTCACTGGCAGCGTTGCCACAATGAAATTTCAAAATGTACTGAAGCTCCTTCAAAAAATGTACTATTTTCCTTCAAAATGTACTATTTCTATGATTGGTTACTTTTGATATTAATATACCATGATACTCAATTTTTGTGCTTATTTCAAATTCATATTCATGAATACTTTGTTAAATATGAATACTTTAAAATTAAATATTTCATAAAAAGATTTTATGAAAATAGTTTCTATGGTTTTTTGTTAAATATAGCATTAAAAGTTGATTTTTTTTAAATATTATAGTGAAGGATAAAAAAAATTATAAATTAAACATGCGCGGACAGATTCAAATTTAAAAAAGTTATTTCTTTTACCAAGATTACTAAAATTTAAGTCCATAATTAAAAATTAAATT